GGGCGCGGGATTCAGGTCGGTGATTCTCCCGTCAGTTCCCAACACGGTGTGGTTTGAATTGTCCCCGTACTTCCGGTCTGGCTAGCTCATGAATCTAGGACATCAGTCTGGCTAGCTCATGAATCTAGGACATCAGTCTGGCTAGCTCATGAATCTAGGACATCAGTCCGGTTAGCTCATGAATCTAGGACATCAGTCTGGCTAGAAGGCGCCATGTTTTGGAACACTGTACAATGTGCCTATCCAAGACCATTCTTCAGGGAACTGTGCGGGGGAGGAAAAGGAGAGGAAGGCAAAGGAAGAGGTGGACGACAACATTGTGGAGTGGACAGGGAAATCCTTCGCCCAAACTCAGGCGCTCGCAAAAGCCCCGTGAAAAGTGAAGGCAGCTGACGAGTCTCTCTGTCATACAGCGCTCCCTACGATCCTCGTGGATTCTGGGATCAGTGACAGTGACAGTGACAAGAAGCAATTTCCTTATTCGTACAGATTTTCCAGTTCTATTTTCTTTCTCTGAAGCGTAACTAGCCATGCAACACCTTGGAGACAGTGTACTAGAACTACGATAGATCTGTCTGTTGGCGCAATATCTATTTGGAGACGGCTGCGACGGAAATAGACCAATCAAAATGCTTTGTGCCTCTAGACCAAGTAAAAAAATCTGGGGGTGGCTTGCACCCTGTTTTAAGCCATAGTTTGATATTTTGCTCTTAAGTTTGAAATTGTCTTGAAAATAATTGATTTGCGACAGTTTTAGTGGCTGTATGTGTGATCTGCAGCAAACAATACACAGTTTGACCCCCCAAAACAGTGCATGTGTGTGCGGGAGTATGTCCACGAATAGTTCCTGGGTGCTCGCCGGAGACGTCTCCGAATATCTTCTGCCGTCAGTTGGTGTTTCTGTTCAGAGAATGACGGGTCGGAATGTGACACGACGTCGGTCGGTCCTGATCGTACAGTAGAGAGGGCGTGTCCCCGATGTCCTCACAAAGAGCTGAGACCGTCACACGTGCAATGTGAAACGTTTCTGTCTGTCTGCAGGGGGAGGGGGCGAG